ATAGTGGCCTTGGGCTTAGCATATACAGCTTTTACAATATTGAGATATGTTCCTACTACCCCTAGTTTTTCTTGTTTTTTGAACGTGAGTGAATTGTTGTAGTTTGTCAAATGCTTTTTCTGCATCTATTGAGATAATCATGTGATTCGTGTCTTTAAGTCTACTGATATGATTAATGTTTATTTATTTCCATATGTTGAACCAAACTTTCATCCCTGAGATGAACCCCCCTTGATCATGGTGCACTATCTTTTAAGTATGTTTTTGTGGGCAATTTGCCAGTATCTTATTAAGAATTTTTGCATCTATGTTCATCAGGGATATTGGTCTCAATTTTTTTCCTTGATGTGTCTTTGTCAGGTTTTGGTATCAGGGTGATACTAGATAGATATCTATGAACATGAAAGAACACAAGTGGAAGAATGAGGAACAAAAGCAAATACTGAAGTAGCAGACTTAAGTCCTATTTGATCAGTAATTACATTAAATATAAATGGACTAAACCTCATAATGAAAAGGCAGAATGAATTTTAAAAAACAAATGATAAACCCACCCATGATCCAACTGTAAGCTGTTTATAAGAGATATTTAAGATTCAAAGACATAATGGGTTGAAAGTAAACAGATGGAAGAAAATGCGCTATGAAAACAGTAACCAAAAAAGAGCATAGGGACTAAACTATTATCAGATACAATAGACTGTATAAGACAAACACTGTTGCATTCCTGGAGAAAATGTAGGAGAGAGAAATTAGAGACAAAGTAGGACATTTTATGACAAAAAGATCAAGCCATCAAAAAGATAAAATGAGTATAAACATATACGCACCTAAGAAAAGAGCCCTCAAAATATATGAAATTAAAGCAAACAGGATTGAATATCCAGTTCAACCAGTGATAATGATAAATGCTAATGGTTACAGAGTTTCTTTTTGGGATAATAAAAATGATCTTGAATAATAATTGGTAATGATTATACAGATTTGTAAATATGTTAAAAACCAATGAAAACCTACACTTAAAGAGGATTAGTTTTAGCCAAATGTGTGGGGGCATACCTATAAATTCAGCTACTCAGAAGGCCGGGTAGTAGGATCACAAATTTGAGGCCAACCTAGATAGTTTAGTGATACCCTGTCTCAAAATTTAAAATGTGGGTATAGCTTGGTGATAGAGCACTCTTGGGTTCAATATCCAATACCAAGAACAACAACCAAACAAATTGAAAGGGGTTGGTTTTAGAGTATGCAAAAAAAAAGTTCTATCTCTGTTCTTACTCCTTATCATAAACACTAAATTTTAGAGGACAAGGGGGCCCCCACTGCTCATTTTCATTCTGGTACTCACTGTGCCTTGTATCAGCCTCTAAATGAACTGAAAAGGCACATCTTTCCCTTTAAATAAACTTCATGAAAACAAACCAAACACTATCTACAACATAGGAGCTTACATGACGTAACACAACATGGACAGCATTAAGGAATTTGTGAATCACTCTGGATCATCATTTCCCAAAGTATGTTCCATAAAACAGCAGCATATATGAGATGAACAGACTATGAAAAAAAAAAGTGGGTGGGAGGGTTCCTGTGGTCCTGTTTAGAAAAGATAATTTTTATCATCCCCAAAAGAAACTCTGTAACCATTAGGTTAAATATAGTTAAAGTATTCATCTTTACTGCAAGAACTTCTTGCCTTCAGTGTGGCAAGTATACATTATCAAGCTTCAAGTACATATCAATGGTGTGATGAGCACCATTTCCCAAATTTATTCAACCAAGGGACTCTCTTGTTCCTCAAAACATTTCTCAGGACTAGTAGAAAAAACTCAAGTCAACTAGATAACTCTATTGAGACATCTCAGAAAATCATAGGGAGTTGGGTGACGGATATAGTTCAGTGGTAGAATGCTACAAGGAAGGAAGGAAACTCTAGGGAGGCTCCATCTGGAAAGTTAAAAATGGTTATATCTTTATTATATGATTAAAGTTAGATTATATATCTCTCTCTTCTCAAAAAGTTGACATAATCTAGAAGTGAATGAAATCGTATATGAAACTGAAGAGACGCAGAAACAGCACATAATCAAAGCCTTAAGAGCTAAAGCATTTGCAGAGTTAGCATCTGTGTCTTCATCCTCTTTAAATTCCCAACACCTAGTATGACATCCATCAAACAGCTGCACTCAATAGTCTTTTAAAAACGAATGAATGAGAAAACTAGGGCAAAGTCAAGCACCAATAATAAATAAAAAACTTCTGGAACTCTATTTCAAGAGGTGATTTTAGCCTGAAAAGATAGAAATGCATTTTCCCAGTATCGGATGCCTTCCACTGGGGTGATAGAGAGAAACCAGAAGAGGGCAGGCAGAAAGGCAGCCAAGGACATCCCACTCTCTTGTTCCTTGGATCTTCTAACAGAAGCAAGGATGGCTGGCTGGGCTCTGGGTCTGATCTAAGATGTTTCTTCTCATGTTCTTATCCTCAGGCTGGGATCATTACAGAGGCAAAGCTGAAGGACCTGACACCCTCCATGCCTGTGATGTTCATCAAGGCCATTCCTGCAGACAAGCAGGATTGCCGCAGTGTCTATTCTTGTCCAGTGTACAAGACTTGTCAGCGGGGACCCACTTACGTGTGGACTTTCAACTTGAAGACTAAGGAAAATCCTTCCAAGTGGGTTCTAGCTGGAGTAGCCTTACTTCTCCAGATTTAGCTTTCTGAGAAAACAAGAAAAGAGGGTAAGCCAGAGGCTCCCTGTCAGACAGGTGGGTGAGGGTTACCACAGACACTTAGATAAGAAATCATAAGCACTCAACTTCTGTGGGATTCCCCTGTGGGACATGAGAAAAGGGTGCTTAAAAGTGAAGCTGAGCTGGCTTTTGGGCCCGGGAACTCTGGTAGGAGAATTTGTAGTACTGAACCTCTTCTAATAAAGTGATTTATTCTTCAACTGTGTCTAGTCCAGACTTTTGAGAGTTTCTGAGTCATCAGGGATTAGGAAAAGTCCAAGAGAAACAAGCCACAAACACAAGCCCCGTTACATGATGCTATCCTCAATGCTCTAGCTCCCAAGGACCCCAAGCAGAATTGGCATCACCCGTGAATCAGCATCTCCATCTTCTTCAGCTGTCTGGGTGATTTGCCTGCATGTTATAGAAATACTACACTTGATTAGAGGGTCACCCAAATTTTTCTGTAAAGAGCCAGAGAGCAAATATTTGAGGGTTTGTTTGCAGGTCATATTGTCTGTTTCAACTACTCTGCCATTGTAGCCCAAATGCAGCCTAGACAATATGTAAATGAACAGGTGGGCTGCATTCCCATGAACCTTACAGAAACAAGCAATGGGTCATTTTAATGATCCCTATTGTAAAGGCTAAGGGAAGTACATATGTGATATTGATCTTTCATTAATTCACATATCTACTGTTTTTGTCTAACCCCTACAATTTTCTGAGAATACAACTGTGAACAAGCAAGCAGGTTGTTTCTCTGTATCTCTATTATTTTAAGATTACTTAAGAGGGAGAAACTCTTCCTCTAAAAGTGTAGATGAATTTTCACGACTCCAAGAGGCTATTTGGTAAGAAAAGTCTGGGAGGCTTTCCTCTGGGATCATTATTGCTTCATATTCTTTCGGACTTTATTATTATTATTATTAATTGCTACTTAATTCAGTGGTTCTTAAACTAGAGCAGGTATTAACAAGTCCTCCAGGGAACTGAGAATTTCTGATTTCATAGCCTTAACAAAATGACACTGCTGCTGGTCTGGAGGCCATACTTTGAGAACTGGATTTAAAACACCAAATTGGGCTGAGGATGTGGCTCAGTGGTAGTGTTTGCCTGGCACAAACAGGCCCTGGGTTCAATCTCTAGCAAAACACAACATACACACATAACCCAAGTCCCATAATTCTATAAATCACTGTTACACAATATATAGAATCTAGTGCCAAATTTTTCCATGATTTTCCTGCTTTCTTCCCTACAGATCTACCTCCCCTTAAGTGGAGTTTTACTCCTCATCTTCATGCTATAAGGGAGTTAACAAATTGCTCTTGGACTCCAGGAACTCTAACTGAAATTGTGTCCCTTCTCCCCAACAACTAATACTTCCCATTATTTACCAACATCCTCTAGTTTCCTTGATATTGGTTAACCTGTCTTCAGAGAAACCGCTCTGCCCTTCTCATTAGCATCATTGCTCCTGACCCTCACACAAAACGGGGCAAGAGGGCCCCTCGAGAACACTAAGGTGGTTGAGGAGAGACATCTCACTGTAATGAAAGCAGGACACTTTGAGGCAGGCAGTTTTCGAAGACAAGGACAGTGGATGGGTTAGATAGATATGTTAATAAACCTCCAGACAGTATTAAAAACTAGATCAATACTATCGATTTCTTCCTAACACCTACTGGCAAAATAAGATAATAAAGATCATTTTAAAGCATGGAGTACAGTAGCAAATACGATAAACCAAGTAGCATGCTGGGAGGAAAAGAGGAAGTTTGAGGCACATGATCGAGTGGCAGGGAGATTCAAAAAAGGCATACCAAAGACAGATAAAGCTGAGAAAAAGTTGTGCCCAGCATTGGTCCTGCACTCATGGCCTGAACTATAGTGGAGCACTTTCCTATTGGTGTGCTGAAACATTACAAACTTGTAGGTTTATGTAGGCTGGTCTTGAAGATCAACTCCCATTTACATTCTTCAATGGAAAAATATGTTTGGAGGATAGGGCATGGGAATAATCCCAGCAGCTCAAAAGTCTGAGGCAAGAAGATCCCAAGTTTAAAGCCAGCTTCAGCAATTTAGCAAGGTAATGAGGTTAACTTAGTAAGACCCGTCTCAAAAAAATAAATAAATAAACAAACAAATAAAAAGGGCAGAGGTTATGGCTCAGTGGTTAAACACCCCAGGGTTTAACTCCTGGTACAAAAAATAATACCAAAAAATATATTTTGAGTTACAGTCAGTGAACACTTCAGACACAGATATAATAGGGAGTGACTCAACCAAGTTTATTTCAAACAAAAGACACTTGAAGTTAACTTTTTTACCTATGTGAGCTCACTGGCCCTCTATGCCTCCCCTTCTGCATCAGGATACCTGCCCTAGAACCCTAATCCTCAAGGACTGATTTGAGGTTCTTCCCACAAGCAATGATTGCAGCCACTTGGTTAAACTCTCTCCAGGGAGCATTTCTAAAACCAACCTCTAAGTGAAACTTTGCAACAGGTCCAAAAAAAGAGATGGCCTGAAACAAAAAAATACTATTCTTTCTCCTGATAAAGCAGCAAGAATTTAAGCCACTGTAAAATCTGATCCAGAGGTTGATACATCTTCCAATCCAAAACCATGTCCAGGTTCTCTCCCTCCAATCCATGAAAAGAGAGAACAAGATATCCTCTTAGGAATGCTGTTCCTCCAGGTAGGACTGAGCATTTTTAAAATAGAGCTGGGGACACACGGGGTCTGAGCGAGCATGGCTACTGAAAAGGCTTCTTTCCTAAGTGGGATCTCTGATGTTTGTCAAGGCTTGAGCTCCAGCTGAAACTTTTGCCACAGTGAGAACATTTATAAGGTTTCTCTCCTGTGTGAACTCTCTGATGTCTATTAAAGTTCGACCTCTGAATAAAGCTTTTCTCACAGATGGGACATTTATAGGGTTTCTCTCCTGTGTGGATTTTCTCGTGGTGGCGCAATCCTGAGAAGTCACTAAAGCCTTTCCCACAGTAATCACATTTACAGGGCTTCTCTCCTGTGTGCGTTCTCTGATGTTTCACAAAGTCTGAGCTCCGCAGAAAGGCTTTTTTGCAGATGGGGCACTGAAAGTATGTCTCTCCGGTATGAGTTCTTTGGTGAAAAACCAACTGTGAATTCCTATAAAAGGTTTTCCCACACTCCCTGCAGGTGGGGAGTTTCTGGGCCATGGGGGCTCGAGGCTGCCCCTTCTGACTGGCCTCTCTTTTCTCCTCCAACCACATGGCAGACAGTTCTGCTGGAGGTGGATTTGGCATAGACTGACCTACTTGCTTCTCAGAACTCCTTCCATGAGGAGAGAGTTGTTCCCCTGCCCCCTCACTCTGAAGGTTTTCTGGTGCCTCAGGAAGATTTTCCCCTTCTCCAAAGTGTCCAGAGTCATCTTCACTGAAGAAGTCCTTCAAGGCAGGCTGAGGAAGTGCCTCACCCAAGGTGTGACATGAAGCAACCAGTGGTTCCTGGTTCCTGTGATTTTCCAAGTTCAAGTTCTCTTTGTCGTTCTCTTGTCTATCTCCTGAAAGAAAATTTGAAATGGTTCAATGTTATGCCCTGTTTTCTAACTCATCTCTCAAAGAAGGGGTCACCAGAAAATATTCTTCTTACCAAGATAGCATTAGTGAGACAAAAAGAAAACTGTCACGCAGCCTGATGCTCCACACTTGCTTCAACTGCACTGGATTCAGGACTATGTGTTTCAGCTCTAGAGCTAAGAACTTCTGAATAGCAAATGAGGGCTCACAGCAGGCTTTTCTGACCCCTCCACAAATCAGCAGCAAGCATTTCTTAAGGGCCAGGAAAAGTATACTATGCACCAGAAGTACTTTTTAAAATGATCTTTAAAAGAATTTGGAAGGAGAAAAAAGTATATACAGGAAAACCAAATCAACCTCAATTGTATTAACCAGATAGAAGTGAACATATGCTTCCTCCCAGACTATTTACTTAATCTATTGTAAATGCTATTTCAGATACAGATAATATTATATTGTATATATAGTTCTATATCTGGTTATGTAGCATTTAAATTGTAAAGAGTAGTACTGGTCAATTTAACATGGATTCCCCCATTTGCAAGTAATTCAAAAATTCATGAAATTCATTAAGATGTTATTTTCCTATGGGTGCAATACAACAGGACTTCAGTGTAAAAGTAAATTCTTCAGTCTTTGCTTGAATCCAGTATTTACATGTGCTTTATTTTAGAGATGAGTTCTCACTCAACTCAGGCTAGCCTCAAACTCAGTGATTCTCCTTCCTCAGCCTCTCAAGTAGCTGGGACTATAAATGTGGGCCACTGTGCCCAGTTACCTATGCCTTATGAACTCACATAAGCAGTTATATTTATTTTCTCATAATGTAGGTTTTCAATTATTTATTGCTTACAGATGCATATGATAAAGATTTTTATTTTGGCTGTAGGATTTTTTCAACTTTTATAAATTATCCCTTAGATCTAAAGAGGCTGTTTAACTTTCTCTTTCATGGATTCATGTCTTTCCAATTATCTGCCAGAGATTTAGGCTTCTGCTACAGAACTAGGACTGAACTTGTTTATCCTCAAAGCTTTAGAACATGTTCCACTCAAATGGCAAAGGTACTGTCACTTTTCTTTTAAGACGACTTTATAAATAGCATCTTAAAGAACTGAGTAATGGCCCATTAGGAAGGTGTCATAATAAACACATGAAGTATTTAAGAATCCTCTTACTGTGGAAATCTATGTTGTTTATTATGTCTTTGCTACTATAAATATGCTGTGATAAACACTTTTCTTCATAAGTTTTTGCCCACAATTCTGCTTAACACTTTAAAGGAATTCTTCTTCAAAGTGGAATTACTGTGTCAACGGGCATGAATATTAAAGCTCTTGACACCTACTGGCAACCTGATTTCCTGAACAACTCTGGCATATTCTAGTATGTGAAACAGGGCAGAGGGAGAGCTGAATAAAGACTCAAATATTCAATGCTTTTAAAATATATGCCATATATAGAGGAAAGGGGCCAAGTAGAGGGAGAAGGAAAGGGAAAGGGGAATACTGGGGAATGATGTTGGCAAATTATATTGTTATATTTTGTGTGTACACAAATATGTAACAATGAATCCCACTATTTTGTATAATTATAATGCACCTATAAATATGAAAAATAAATATATGCCATCAGTGAAAAATGCATTTTCATTGTTTTAAATTTTAAATTCTTAGTTATGAAAGGATATATATTTTTCATATTTATGAGCTATCCCAAACCTGCTGTCCATTTCTTACTATGAAGTTATTTTTCTTATTAACCTGCTTTAACTTTTTCTATATTAAGAAAAATAACATAGAATGTCATTTATCTGTCATGTTCCTGAAAAATATTTTTCTTCAACATAGTTACCTGATTCCATTTGGGTTTATTTTTATGTATAGAAGTTGTGGGGGATTTTACTTTTTAAAGATACTCAAGCCAATCAATCTTTTCCTAAATATTTTTTCATCACTTTTTTTTTAGAGAGAGAGAGAGAGAGAGAGAGAGAG